AATCTGTCTTTGTAGTTTCAGTGTAATTCATTCAGGAAATGAAAGAAAAATCAATATATAAATCACACAACCCCCCCTGCAGCATCTAGAGGTCATGACTCCAGTTTTGAAGACCTATGAGCTAGAATGTTTTGCTTATCTCATACAAACGATGATCACTGTCACTGTGCTGATTGGATGGTATGATGGTTTCTGTGCTTAAGGGACAGGGGACATTTTTTTGAGGACCAGAATGTTAACATTTTGGACAAAGAAAACAGGTGGTTTGAGAGGGGTGTTAAGGACGCCATTGATATTAAAAATCAAATTTAAATGTCAAATCATTCTGGCTTAAACATGTATATAAATGTACTCTTAAATAGACCATGTCGTCCCAAAATTTTGAAAATTTCTAATTTAAAAAAAAATCCTGTCTTAAAATCAGTTTTTTTTTTCCGTTATCTTCTGCAGGCCAGTTAGTTCTACGTTAGCCTGAACACCTAAATTCTGCCAATCATATATCAACGGTCATCTGTCAATCAAATGTCTTCGGTCATAGCATCTTGATTCATATGTCGCAGCTAATATACGCAACGGTTGAAACCAGAATCCTTTCCTTTCCCATTGAGTTGCGTCCCAGTGTTCACGGGGATGGACGTCTGTGTCTTCGGCAGGCGTAGAGCTAACAGAACTGGCAGCGTTGCGAGGCAAGGGCTCAAACATGTACGGCTGGAAGCCTTCTACACCAAACCAAGCTGCTGCCGCCCTGGCGTCCTCTTCCACAACATCTTCGTCCCCGCTTTCCTCCTCTAAATAAAAAATGGATGACGGAGGAGACTCATCCACGACCTCCGACACTAAACTCTCCTCCTCTTGCATGTTTCCGCTGTCCATAGCGTTCCTTGACAGCGTCGTTTCTAAGTCACCAACTTAGTGCTACTTGGTCCCAATGGAATTTCCCGTTGGGAACCTGCTAGCACTAAGTTGCTAACTGGTTAGCAAGATGCTTCCCGCAAACCGGCCACAACCAAACTTGCTTGGGAATCTGCCGCCAAAACAATCCCGCCCCCTTGATAAACGACCAATCACATTCACTTTATTCACTCGTGTAAAGTCGGGCACCACTCGGGAGAATTCGGGAGAAATGGTTGGAACGGCCGCTTCCCTACGACTTTAAACAGAGGGAGTGGAATCAGATTTGAGCTTTCAAAAACCTTGCCTGTTAAGCCTTTCAGAGACATAGACAGGTATGGAGCATTGCAGGCTAACAAAGAAGCCAAACGACCCCCATTCCAAAGGGGGGGACCCGTTCATCCGTTTCTATTTGCATGTTTTCTAAACAAAAACCAGGCTTTGTTGGGCTGCTGGATAAAACCTGGAACTAAACGCTATTTCTGACATTTTGAATTGAAAAATCTTCCTGGATGGAAGAGAAACGTCTTCAAGTCCAGTGGATTGTTTTTGTGGAAAGACAGAAAAGGCTTTAAATTTATACCTCTTAGCTGCAGCCCCCTCGGCATGTTAGCTAAGCCCCGCTGCTTGTTGCTGCTGAGAAATGCTGACATGAAGCAGCAGCTCGGTCCACTCGTCTTTTTATCGTCTCTGAATGACAATCCTTCATACTCTGCACGAGTCTGGGTTTAAAACAACACTTCAGTCGGTAAACATGAACGTTTCCCTGGAATCTGCAGAGGAGCCGCATTTTCTGACAGCTTCCATCCTTTAGGTGAACGCTTCATTTTAGGCCTAACATCAGCAGAATAAATGTATCCAGGATTAAGATTTAGATTTTTTAACAAAATACTTTCCTATTTGCTTTATTAGCAGCCTGTTGTAAATAACCAGTAAAATAATAATAATAAAAAAAAACACTTTAAAACCACTAAAGCTTATAGTTAGAGTGGCTCAGCTTACCCCGAGCTATCCCTAAAGGTATGCTGCTATAGGTTTAGACTGCTGGACGACCCTTTTTCATCATTCTGCTTCATTCTATCTCTATTCTCCCACTCTGCAGAATCTGTTAGTTCAATCTCTAACGTTCTGCTCTCTCTGCTTTTTCTCATAGTAGCTTCATCTGGTCTGTTCCTGTTTGGCTGTGACTCCATCCTGGAGAGAAATATCAGCTGTGCTGCTGCCATCAACACCTTTGTTTCTAGATGTTGGAGCTTGGCCTGTTTTCCAGTGTAGTCCTGTTTCTCTGACTGTGACTAACTGGATGTGCTCTCTTCATCCTCTGACATGGGAGCTGGCTCGGAGCTCGTCTGCCTGGCTGTGTGTTTCCTGGACGGGGCCGCCTGTGGAGCTGGTTGACAGTTGCCTTTTGTATCTATGCTTCTTTTTCTATGTCTGCTTCTGTCTCCTTGAACCCCAGTGGGCCTCAGCAGATGGCCGCTCACACTGAGCCTGGTTCTGCTGGAGGTTTCTTCCTGTTCAAAGGGAGTTTTTCCTCTCCACTGTCGCTACAAGCATGCTTAGTGTGAGGGATTGCTGAAGAGTCAATGAGTCGATGCAATCAGCTGGTTTTCCTTTGATAGAAAACTTTGAATCAATCTGACTGGATGATCTGGTGAACTGGAAAGTGACCTGAGATGACATGATGTGAATTGGAGCTATAGAAATAAACTGAATAGAGTTGAACCAGCCGTAGCTGATTTTAAATGAGCAGCTCTCCTCATCTATTAACACCTTCGGAGTAAAAATCAGCTTAGTAATGACACGAATCAGCCCTAGAAGGACCTCAGTCTCCTCCACAGGCTCCTCTTAACTGCAGACCGTGGGAATGTATTTAAGCACAGTGTGGAGGATGGAAAGCCAGCAGTTCAAGAAGGACAAGATGCCTGCAGGGGAACCAGTCAGGACAAAAACATCCTTCCATAAAAAGGTATTAAAACCTGCAGAGAGGAGGAACTTAATGCCTGAGCTGCCCTGTAGCATAAACAACTTTCTGAGTGAAACATCTTGTTCCTGATGTTTCCACAGCAGCTGAATCTGAGAAACTCTGCTCTGTGATTGGCTGAGAGCTGAAAGCTTTCATACCTTCATTTGCTTTTGGTTGTTGGACGTGAACCAAGCTTTCAGAGAGCGCACAGCCTCCTGCTGAGGTGACACAGATCCACAACCAGCATTTTACTTTCATGTCTGCAGACATCTCTGCCTCTCTGATAAAGAAACCAACTGGTTTTTTTAATTACAGAATAATGACAATAATAAATAGTGCAGGTTTTAGCTATTTTCGATATTTTGCTCAGAATTTGTAAAACCAAATGACACTAAAGGTATCAGCAATGTTTTTCTTCAATTTATTTCTATTGGAAAAGCCTGGAGCTTGTGAAAGAGTAGCGTTTACCTGGATGAATTCACGTTCCCAGGGTTTAGATCAGACATGGGCAATGTGGAGTCAACAAGTCATCTCCATGTCATGTATTTAATCTACCCAGCCAATTAACCAGGTGAGTCCAATCTGCACAGGTTAATTCACAGTGAAGATTGGACTCACCTGCTTCAGTGGCTGGGTAGAACAAATACATGACATGGAGATGACTTGTTGACTCCACATTGCCCATGTCTGGTTTAGATTCTACTACCGACCCGGTGCTGTCTGAGTTTTCAGGTTGTCGGGTTTTCTGCAGCTTCTGCAGAGGAACCCCAAGGCGCTCCCAGGCCAGCCAAGAAACATAGTCCCTCCAGCGTGTCCTGGGTCTCCCCCTGTGCCTCCTCTCGGTGGGACGTGCCCAGAACACCTCACCAGGGAGGCATCCAGGAGGCATCCTAACCAGATGCCGGAGCCACCTCAACTGGCTCCTCTCGATGTGGAGGAGCAGCGGCTCTACTCTGAGTCCCTCCCAGATGACCAAGCTTCTCACCCTATCTCTAAGGGAGAGCCCAGCCACCCTACGGAGGAAACCCATTTCGGCCGCTTGTATCCGCGATCTCGTTCTTTCGGTCATGACCATAGATGAGGGTAGGAACGTAGATCGACCGGTAAATCGAGAGCTTCGCTTTTTGACTCAGCTCTCTCTTCACCACGACGGACCGGTACAGTGCCCGCTTCACGGCAGACGCTGCGCCAATCCGCCTGTCGATCCCCCGCTCCCTTCTTCCCTCGTTCGTGAACAAGATCCCAAGATACTTAAACTCCTCCACTTGGGGCAGGACACCCCCCCTGACCCGGAGAAGGTACTCTACCCTTTTCCGGCTCAAGACCATGGCCTCGGATTTGGAGGCACTGATCCCCATCCCGGCCGCTTCACACTCGGTTGCGAACCGATCCAGCGAGAGCTGCAGATCACGACCTGTTGAAGCCAACAGGACCACATCATCTGCAAAAAGCAGAGACGCAATCCTAAGGCCACCAAAACGGATCCCCTCAACACCTTGGCTGCGCCTAGAAATTCTGTCCATGAAGGTAATGAACAGAATCGGTGACAAAGGGCAGCCCTGGCGGAGTCCAACTCTCACTGGAAACGAGCCCGACTTACTGCCGGCAATGCGGACCAGACGATGTGCAGACCATGGGAATGTATTTCCCATCCTCTTATGAAGAGATTTTCCCGAAGTATAATGCTGCCACTCCATCCAGTGCTCCGGTAGAGATTCTGTTTAGCCTGGGGAAACTGGTCTTACACCAAAAAGGATCAGACTCTCTGACATCAAGTTTGAGAAGCTGCTTCTCTTGCGATACAACCACTGGTTTAAGGGCTAAAATGTTGACATGACTGGAGAGAGGATTTAATTTAGTTGGATTTAACAAACCCACGAACAATTCCAGTTCAGTTTGCACTCTGTAATTTACTTTCTTTAAGAAAAAAAGCTGGAGCACTTTACTTCTGTTGTGTACTAGTTTTGTTAAGTTAGAGTTGCATGAAGGGAAAATTGGCGCAGTTGACTGTCTTTGCTGTTGGTGAGACAGCTAAGTTGGATGGGTGGCAGTCTAGTCTAGACGAAGTGGAGTAAATGAAGTGGACCGATCATCTGTGAGGTGAAAATGCCTTCTAGCTAAATCAGAGAAAGCTGGATGGTACCTCCTGGTCGGGTTCAGCAGGCTGACTGTGGTCCACAGCAGGACTGAGTGAGGAGGAGACGGGACTGAGCGGGACACCAGGGGTGACGGTGATGATCTGTGGAGACGATGTGCTGGGCTGAGCTTCAGGACCTGGAGACATCAGAACCAACTGTGAACATCACTGATGCAAGCTTGAGCGTTTGAGCTACAGAATAACAGTAGGAGAGACTTTGGACCTCAGCTATCAACTGAACTATAAAAAAAAACAAATCAGAAGCTTCTTCAGATCAGCTGTAAAGTAGGAGATTGCTTTAGGAGATTCATAACCACCGTTGGGTCCCTAGCTCACAAGATGTTAGTTCATTTCCAAGACATCAGAACAGAAACCTAATAATATAATCATGCCAGATAATAATAAATGGTTTAAATGTTGGTACCTGTGAGCTCAGGGATGGTGTGAGTCGGTGCAGGAGTCACAATCCTGAAAAACAACATCAGAAGGGAAATTAGGTCATTTTATCCGAGGTCTGTACCTTCAACATGACTGGATCAGGGCTACCACATGCATGCTATTCCATTGGTGTGTGCTTAGTTGGACCATCATTTATTTTTCAACAGGACAATGACCTCAAACACACCTCCAGGCTAGGTAAGGGCTGTTTGACTGAGGAGAGTGATAGGATGCTGCACCAGGTGACCTGGCCTCCACAATCACTGGACCAGAACCCAATAGAGATGGTTTGGAGTGAGCTGGAGCGCAGAATGAAGGAAAATGGGCCAACAAGCATCTCTGAGAACTTTAGGTGACTACCTCTGGAAGCTCATCAAGAGAATGCAAGAGTGTGTAAAGCAGTAATCAAAGCAGAAGGTGGCTACTTCGAAGAACCTAGAATATAAGACATATTTTCAGTTGTTTAACACTTTTTTAACTATATAATTCCACATGTTAATTTATAGTTTTGATGCCTTTAATGTGAATCTACCATTTTCATTATCATTAAAATAAAGAAACTCTTTGAATGAGAAGGTTTGTCCAAACTTTTGGTCTGTACTGTACTCCAGAGGAAGATGGGGCTATAGAGGACGAAGATGTGGCCACAGAGCTTTGGCTATAGAGGAGGAGGCTGTGGCTATAGAGGAGGAGGCTGTGGCTATAGAGGAGGAGGCTGTGGCTATAGAGGAGGAGGCTGTGGCTATAGAGGAGGAGGCTGTGGCTATAGAGGAGGAGGTTTTGGCTATAGAGGAGTTGGCTGCAGCTGTAAAGGAGTTGGGTGCGGCTTTTGAGGAGGAGGCTGCGGCTATAGAAGAGGAGCTTCTGGCTATAGAGGAGGAGGCTGTGGCTATAGAGGAGGTGGCTGCGGCTATAGAGGATGAGGCTGCGGCTATAGAGGAGGAGGCTGTGGCTATAGAGGAGGAGGCTGTGGCTATAGAGGAGGAGGTTTTGGCTATAGAGGAGTTGGCTGTGCCTATAGAGGAGGAGGCTGCGGCTATAGAGGAGGAGGCTGTGGCTATAGAGGAGGAGGCTGCGGCTATAGAGGAGGAGGCTGCGGCTATAGAGGAGGAGGCTGTGGCTATAGAGGAGGAGGCTGTGGCTATAGAGGAGGAGGCTGTGCCTATAGAGGAGGAGGCTGCGGCTATAGAGGAGGAGGCTGTGGCTATAGAGGAGGAGGCTGCGGCTATAGAGGAGGTGGCTGCGGCTATAGAGGACGAGGCTGCGGCTATAGAGGAGGAGGCTGCGGCTATAGAGGAGGAGGCTGCGGCTATAGAGGAGGAGGCTGCGGCTATAGAGGAGTTGGCTGTGGCTATAGAGGAGGAGGCTGCGGCTATAGAAGAGGAGCTTCTGGCTATAGAGGAGCTGGCTGTGGCTATAGAGGAGGTGGCTGCGGCTATAGAGGACGAGGCTGCGGCTATAGAGGAGGTGGCTGCGGCTATAGAGGAGGAGGCTGTGGCTATAGAGGAGGAGGCTGTGGCTATAGAGGAGGAGGCTGTGCCTATAGAGGAGGAGGCTGCGGCTATAGAGGAGGAGGCTGCGGCTATAGAGGAGGAGGCTGTGGCTATAGAGGAGGAGGCTGCGGCTATAGAGGAGGAGGCTGTGGCTATAGAGGAGGAGGCTGCGGCTATAGAAGAGGAGGCTGTGGCTATAGAGGAGGAGGCTGTGGCTATAGAGGAGGAAGCTGTGGCTATAGAGGAGGAGGCTGTGGCTATAGAAGAGGAGGCTGTGGCTATAGAGGAGGAGGCTGTGGCTATAGAGGAGGAGGCTGTGGCTATAGAGGAGGAGGCTGTGGCTATAGAGGAGGAGGTTTTGGCTATAGAGGAGGAGGCTGTGGCTATAGAGGAGGAGGCTGTGGCTATAGAGGAGGAGGTTTTGGCTATAGAGGAGGAGGCTGTGGCTATAGAGGAGTTGGCTGCAGCTGTAAAGGAGTTGGGTGCAGCTATTGAGGAGGAGGCTGCGGCTATAGAAGAGGAGCTTCTGGCTATAGAGGAGCTGGCTGTGGCTATAGAGGAGGTGGCTGCGGCTATAGAGGACGAGGCTGCGGCTATAGAGGAGGAGGCTGCGGCTATAGAGGACGAGGCTGCGGCTATAGAGGAGGAGGCTGCGGCTATAGAGGAGGAGGCTGTGGCTATAGAGGAGGAGGCTGTGCCTATAGAGGAGGAGGCTGTGGCTATAGAGGAGGAGGCTGTGCCTATAGAGGAGGAGGCTGTGGCTATAGAGGAGTTGGCTGCAGCTGTAAAGGAGTTGGGTGCGGCTATTGAGGAGGAGGCTGCGGCTATAGAGGAGGGGATTCTGGCTATAGAGGAGCTGGCTGTGGCTATAGAGGAGGTGGCTGCGGCTATAGAGGACGAGGCTGCGGCTATAGAGGAGGAGGCTGCGGCTATAGAGGACGAGGCTGCGGCTATAGAGGAGGAGGCTGTGGCTATAGAGGAGGAGGCTGTGGCTATAGAGGAGGAGGCTGTGCCTATAGAGGAGGAGGCTGTGGCTATAGAGGAGGAGGCTGTGGCTATAGAGGAGGAGGCTGCGGCTATAGAGGAGGAGGCTGTGGCTATAGAGGAGGTGGCTGTGCCTATAGAGGAGGAGGCTGTGCCTATAGAGGAGGAGGCTGTGGCTATAGAGGAGGAGGCTGTGCCTATAGAGGAGGAGGCTGTGGCTATAGAGGAGGAGGCTGTGGCTATAGAGGAGGAGGTTGTGGCTATAGAGGAGGAGGCTGCGGCTATAGAGGAGGAGGCTGTGGCTATAGAGGAGGTGGCTGTGCCTATAGAGGAGGAGGCTGTGCCTATAGAGGAGGAGGCTGTGGCTATAGAGGAGGAGGCTGTGCCTATAGAGGAGGAGGCTGTGGCTATAGAGGAGGAGGTTGTGGCTATAGAGGAGGAGGCTGCGGCTATAGAGGAGGAGGCTGTGGCTATAGAGGAGGAGGCTGTGCCTATAGAGGAGGTGGCTGTGCCTATAGAGGAGGAGGCTGTGCCTATAGAGGAGGAGGCTGCGGCTATAGAGGAGGTGGCTGTGCCTATAGAGGAGGAGGCTGTGCCTATAGAGGAGGAGGCTGCGGCTATAGAGGAGGAGGCTGCGGCTATAAAGGAGGAGGCTGTGCCTATAGAGGAGGAGGCTGTGGCTATAGAGGAGTTGGCTGTGGCTATAGAGGAGGAGGTTGTGGCTATAGAGGAGGAGGCTGTGGCTATAGAGGAGGAGGCTGCGGCTATAGAGGACGAGGCTGCGGCTATAGAGGAGGAGGCTGTGGCTATAGAGGAGGAGGCTGTGCCTATAGAGGAGGAGGCTGTGGCTATAGAGGAGTTGGCTGTGGCTATAGAGGAGGAGGCTGTGCCTATAGAGGAGGAGGCTGTGGCTATAGAGGAGGAGGCTGTGCCTATAGAGGAGGAGGCTGTGGCTATAGAGGAGGAGGCTGTGGCTATAGAGGAGGAGGCTGTGGCTATAGAGGAGGAGGCTGTGGCTATAGAGGAGGAGGCTGTGCCTATAGAGGAGGAGGCTGTGGCTATAGAGGAGGAGGCTGTGGCTATAGAGGAGGAGGCTGTGCCTATAGAGGAGGAGGCTGTGGCTATAGAGGAGTTGGCTGTGGCTATAGAGGAGGAGGTTGTGGCTATAGAGGAGGAGGCTGTGCGAATAGAGGAGGAGGCTGTGGCTATAGAGGAGGAGGCCGTGGCTATAGAGGAGGAGGCCGTGGCTATAGAGGAGGAGGCTGTGGCTATAGAGGAGGAGGCTGTGGCTATAGAGGAGGAGGCTGTGGCTATAGAGGAGGAGGCTGTGGCTATAGAGGAGTTGGCTGTGGCTATAGAGGAGGTGGCTGTGGCTATAGAGGAGGAGGCTGTGGCTATAGAGGAGTTGGCTGTGGCTATAGAGGAGTTGGCTGTGGCTATAGAGGAGGAGGCTGTGGCTATAGAGGAGGTGGCTGTGCCTATAGAGGAGGAGGCTGTGGTTATAGAGGAGGAGGCTGTGCCTATTGAGGAGGAGGCTGTGGCTATAAAGGAGGAGGCTGTGGCTATAGAGGAGGAAGCTGTGGCTATAGAGGAGGAGGCTGTGCCTATAGAGGAGGAGGCTGTGGCTATAAAGGAGGAGGCTGTGGCTATAGAGGAGGAGGCTGTGGCTATAGAGGAGGAGGCTGTGGCTATAGAGGAGGAGGCTGTGGCTATAGAGGAGGTGGCTGTGCCTATAGAGGAGGAGGATGTGGCTATAGAGGAGGAGGCTGTGGCTATAGAGGAGGAGGCTGTGGCTATAGAGGAGGAGGCTGTGGCTATAGAGGAGGTGGCTGTGGCTATAGAGGAGGAGGCTGTGGCTATAGAGGAGGAGGCTGTGGCTATAGAGGAGGAGGCTGTGCCTATAGAGGAGGAGGCTGCGGCTATAGAGGAGGAGGCTGCGGCTATAGAGGAGGAGGCTGTGGCTATAGAGGAGGTGGCCGTGCCTATAGAGGAGGAGGCTGTGCCTATAGAGGAGGAGGCTGTGGCTATAGAGGAGGAGGCTGTGGCTATAGAGGAGGAGGCTGTGGCTATAGAGGAGTTGGCTGTGGCTATAGAGGAGGAGGCTGTGGCTATAGAGGAGGAGGTTGTGGCTATAGAGGAGGAGGCTGTGCCTATAGAGGAGGAGGCTGTGGCTATAGAGGAGTTGGCTGTGGCTATAGAGGAGTTGGCTGTGGCTATAGAGGAGGAGGCTGTGGCTATAGAGGAGGTGGCTGTGCCTATAGAGGAGGAGGCTGTGGCTATAGAGGAGGAGGCTGTGGCTATAGAGGAGTTGGCTGTGGCTATAGAGGAGGAGGTTGTGGCTATAGAGGAGGAGGCTGTGGCTATAGAGGAGTTGGCTGTGGCTATAGAGGAGGAGGCTGTGGCTGTAGAGGAGGAGGCTGTGGCTATAGAGGAGGAGGCTGTGGCTATAGAGGAGGAGGCTGTGCCTATAGAGGAGGAGGCTGTGGCTATAGAGGAGTTGGCTGTGGCTATAGAGGAGGAGGCTGTGGCTATAGAGGAGGAGGTTGTGGCTAT